TCACACTGCACCTTCATCATACAAACACGAGTTACCACAATATGCGTGGTTCGAATGCCGCGTGCCAAGCTTCTCCTTGAACTCTGCCATGCGGAATTTGAAGCACGGATCTCGCGGTGAATTGCGATAGAATCTGGGTTCAAACTGTATTTTCTGTTACAGGACTAATAAAAAGATTAAAAAAACCTCTCGTTAGTTGGTCCTTTAGCTAACCACCGGGAGTGCTGTTCATACAATATAACATGAACGTCATAAGAAGTGGTGGTATGCTGGAGATTGTTTGTCATCTTACTTAACCGGAAGTTTGTGTCTGCCCCCCAGAGCGCAATCGCTCTGGGGGTGGAGACAACAGGACATTGCACACGACAGTCGTATTGCCCACTGTGCGATGGGAGCTACGGTCCAGATCAGTGTTCCAACATGACTATCCGCACGTCGATCGATTGCATTGTAATCCCTCAAGCGGTCTTAAACTCTTTAATGTAAAGCGAAATGTCAACCTGCGGCACCCCGCCCCCTCCGATCACGGCCCGACCAGCGGCATCAATGCCCGACAGTATACGTCATCTCATCTTGTTGCACCTCTGACATGCGTGCACACAGTCACACCGGCGATAATTCCAGTCTTGTGTTCACAACGCACAACACTGCCATTGTAATGTTGCTGCTATGTTGCTGACACGCAGAAATACCGAACCACGTTGATTGCCGGTTGCACTCGGCATCGGAAAACAGAACCGAACTCAGTACTGCAGGCACCCAAGCACCCAGTAGCAAATCCTGCCTGTCTTGGACGCAGTTTCCGCCGTTTCCACAACGTCATCAACGTCGACAAATTGTTCCGCAATCCGGAGACGGCCATCTTAGCCCACTGTACGCAGCGCTGCTGGTACTGCTCCGGAACTTCGCTGTTTCTAACGGCTTCGCTTGCTCGTTTGATAAAAGTAGGGGTAGAAACGTCGATGCAACCGAAATATTCTGCACGATCGGACTGCAAGACGGAATTGCAGGCGGCCTTCACTGCCGCTGAAGCTCGATCAACTCAGCGACATTGATTAAACGACGCGTGGGACGTGCTCGAAAAACGAAACCGAAAGAACATGAGGCGGGAGGGCGAAGCCTTTCTCCCGTCTGACTGGAGCAGGAGTAATACGTCTCGTTCTTCTCTTCTCGTGTCCGCTTCAGGGGCCGTCAGTAAAAGGAAGGAAAACGCGCCGTTGCTACCTTTTTTCCTTTTTCCTGTTTTTTAGAGTGAGGTTAAATTACAAACTTAAACAAATCTCGAGCTTGCTTTTTTTTTTTTTTTTGGCGTTGGCCTGGATTATTGGTGGTTGATTGTTTCATCGACGTTTCAAGCAGCGGTGTTAAGGTAGGCTTTATTCACTCTTTTCATAAACAAGAAGTTCGCTGGGACGGCAAAGACTGGAATACCACCTGGTAGCGTTTGCAAAGAAAATGTCTACACGGTGTGCAAGTTTGTCTGTTCAGTGTTCACCTCGAGCGTTTGTTTACCGCCAAAATGCCAGAAAGAGACATAAAAAAACTTTTAATAAAGAATTAGTTGGGGTCTTTCGAGGCGAGAGGAGCCCTCATTCCAGGGCCCTTGCAGCTGTCGCTGCGGCTCGGGCCCGTGAGACAAGATTACGCTGGTCGTCCGGATCCCAGCTGGACAGCGCAGCTTCCCACTGCTCGGCGTTTGGGTTGGGAACTGGGGGAGCAGCCTGAATCTTAGGGCATGCCCACGTGATGTGATATAATGAAGCCTTTTCGGTGCACAGGGGACATTTGTTTGTGTGGTGTATACTGTAGGGTACATGGCATGTAAGAGGCTGAGGTGGGGGAAAGTATTCGTTTGTAACATGCGCCAACCTACAGCGTCCTCCCTCGTTAGAGATTTGTGCGGCGGAGGAAGGGTGCGGCGACTCAATCGGAGATGTTGAAGGATGTCACAATAGGGAAGGGGGATTGGGATGGGGACCATGCGATGGGTCTTCCTGCAGTGGCGGGGCCCGGAGGGTTAAAGCTCGGGCTGACGGGTGTGCGCGTTCGTTCCCGCTCAGGGAATTATGCCCCGGGGTCCATATCAAGGACATTGTAGGGAGTTGTTTAGGGGAGTGATTAGTTAAAATTCGATGAGCAAATCTGGAGAGGCGACCGTTAACGAAGGAATTGTGACTCGAGGAACACCAAAGGTAAGACGCAAAGTGCGCGAAGTAACTGGGTATAGGTTGTCTCCGTTTAACATCGCAGTGCTGTCGACGAGAAGACTGAGTAACTGCTTCCGAAACGCAAGTTTCTGTACCTGGGGGGGGGGGGGGGGGGGGGGGGGAATCTGGCTTTGGAAATAAACACAGTTCGCAGAAAACTCGTGTTACGCTTTTATTTGCTGCTCCTCTCGTCCCGCACAAGAGACGCAGCGTCCTCGTCAAGCCTTAATGGGCTCGATTTGCTCGATTCGGGGCGCCATATAGAGATGCTAGCGACGGAGGAACTTTGCTCCCCTGCTTCAGGGACGGAAGTTTCTCCCTTTCTAAAGGAACATAGGTTACAAGACCGTTCCTCCCCTGAGGGAGGACTATCCATACCCTTCTTCTAAGAGTGTATAGCGCAAGCGCTCGTTCTGCGGAAGAATGTTTCAAAGCTGTGTTGTTGCATTGGCTGCAGTCTCAACTTAAGGTGTATTCATACGAGGGAGAAATCCCGCGGATTTCTCCACGGCGTGCCCATCTCGTGACAAAAACGTCAGGCTTTTGCGATGTGCAAAAGCCTGGCGTTTTCGTCTCGTGATGCGCACGCCGTGGAGAAATCCGCGGGATTTCTCTCTCCTGTGAATACCCCTTTAACGATGAACGGATACAGCAAAGCACTATAATACGATCTACCAGAAGTCCCTAACGACAAAATGAAAACGGCAGACAGGCCTTTCAAACGTCCCGTTTCCAATGCGTACTTTCAACCTTCAGTAAAATATAAATATAGCGCGCAAAAAACACCAAGGACAAGAAGTAAGCAGGACAAGCGCTAACTTTCCCTTAGTTTCAATCAGGAAAAACGAAGCATATATACGCAGCACACGCGAAGGAGCAACACCTAAAAGCTATAAGACAGTATCCGATTGTGCAAAAACTGAAATTCATTCTCATGGAGCACAATTGACGTGTCGCTGACACTTAAAGTCCCACTATGTTTGGCAAAGAACGCCTCCAAAAGTTCACGACCGACAGCCTCACGGCTTTTCCCCAGAATCCTTATATGCTGAAGTCGCGGAACACAGGCACACCTGTCGCAATGTATAGGCACATGCGAGCCATATATATTTTTTACGTAAGTGCGTGCTCCAGTGCTCGGCCATTGATGCACCGCCCCGGACATCTGGCCGATATAGGCTTTACCACAATCCAGTGAGATCTTGTAGACCACGCCCACTGTGCCGTCCACGTAAGGGGTGACGTGTTTCTTATCACATTGTCTTTTTGCTCTCTCATCAGAAGTGCGGGAGCACAACCCAGCCAATTTTTTGGGGCAGAGAACACAACGCGCACATCACACTGGCTTGCCACTTTCTTCAGATTGTGGGCAACCTTGTGGATGTACGGAATAAGTTCTGGTATGTTCGTTCTTTTTGCCTCGTTGCTCCGTGGGAATGTGCGCCATGGCAACTGTGCTCCATGGGAATGGATTTTCAGTTTTTGCATAATCAGATACTGACTTGATAGCTTTTAGATGTTGCTGCTTCGCGTGTGGTTTGCATATATTGCTTTCCTTTGCCTAAGTAAAACTAGTTGAAAGTTAGCGCTTGTCCTGTTTACTTCTTGTCCTTGTCTTTTTTTTGCGCTATTTTATCTGTTTAACTAAGATGAAACAACTAGCCCAACAACATTAGTAGAGTGCCCGGCAGAACTCCACATCTTCAGATTCCAACAACATACCCTACTTTGAACCTTCAAAACCACTTCGACGTGTCCTGAGCTCTGAGTGTGCACGCGTAGTCGATGTATTACGGAAGGAAACGAGCAAGCGCGTGCTGAATGCCGGGCGTTCGAAAAAGACGCTTTGCCGTCCCCGTTCAGTCAGTGCCTGTTGGCGAAGAGATCAAACTTCCAACTATAGGGGGGTGCTCTCTCCGCAGCTTCGGGGGACCCCAGGGTCTACCCAACACAAGGCCTGTGAACTCTCCAGGTCATCTCCCTCGATTGAGCGCCGGCAGCAAGTCAGACACGAGTGCTGCGTCATGGTTCGGCTTGGACTCATGCGCTTTTTTGATTGAACACGAGCCCCAGCCTGAACGCTGGCGCAGCATTTGGTCACGTCAGTCGAGCGGTCCGTCAGAAACACAAACAAATAAATCAAATTGTAATATTCACTGACCGAATAGGAACGGCAAGGCGCGTTTTTCAAATGCCCGTTCTCCAGTACGCGCTCCATGCCTTCGACTGCGCTTTGATTGCACTTGCGCGAGCTTGAGGTGCACGAGACACCAAAGCGCTGTCGAAGGTAGGCAGCTGGCGCTGGAGGAGGGAGAGCTGAATCTCCTTCCTGCCGCTCTCACTTTGTCGGTGACTGTGGTGGTGCATGGAGTCACTAAGTAAGGAACGCTTTAGAGTGAGACGACACTCCAGCCATCTTGGTGCTTAAAATATGTGAAGCTTTATCTGAAACTACAAGAAACGATTTTTCGTCCTCCAGACTGTTAGAACTGTTCGCGACAGAGTAAAACGATATCACCTGAGCTTCCTAACACCACATCTAAAGCTGAGGGAGCCGCGTTTTTGAATTGGGACGATCGACAGTTGCGTCCGCTCCGCACTAAGCAGCAAGATGGCGGCGTCCACTAGCAAACCGGGGAACAGAGTGCCGATACTCCAAGCGTAGCTCATTTAGTGGATCTAGTGGTGCCCATGGGCTTAGTTCTCAACTCAGCCGCTAGGGGCGTGATGGTTGGATCTCGTGTCGCCCCAAGTCTGCTTTGTTGTAACTTCGTCCCATTCCTCTCTGTGTAGCAGCGTCCGTCGTCCTCGGCCAGCGTCCGGGGAGTGCTGAGCCTGGATCAGGAGGTGGGACTCAGCGACGCCCTGCTCCTGGAGCCCCCTACCGAGGAGGCCTTCATTGCCAACCTGCACCAACGATTCAAGAGGGACCTGATCTACGTACGTCCGTGCCTTTGTTGTTTAATGTTTTGACGCCTATGGTCATTGACACATTAAGAAACAAGGAGCCTAGCCAGTCCCGACCTTTATTGCTCGCAGATAATGCAATTGAGGCATCTTCACCCCTGCTCGTTCTGATCCGGACGATCATCGTATACCTGCGTGCGGTCGTGTGTTGCTACTGCGAGATGCACGTTAAAGGCCGCAGGCTAGCAGGCGAACAGCACTGACTTAATTTCCAACCTACAGCTTAAACCAGTTTCACCGTACCTCAAAGGCATACCGACCTTACGCTCTCTAAACACGAACGTCTTACTTCGTTTGGTTTAGAGATTGTGGCGCTATCTGATAATAAATCAAAATAACGATTCACGAAGAAGAAAAAAAGAAGCGTGAAGTCACGCCTTGTGTGTCTTAAGCACTGAGGAATCTGGTGGGTCTACTTTCTCGCTAAGCGTTTCCGATATTCAATCGCGGCCATTCCTTTACAAAGAATATTTCAGGCAGTCCATAAATATTATATCCACATTTTAGCGACTCTTTCAAATCCCTATTCAGTCACGTCGTATCGACAATTTTTAATAAACTTTCTGTGAACTTTTTTTCAACCAAAGTATGTAGAACACAACCGAAAGAAATGCTATAAAATTTTCATCACTACGTTTCAACAGATTTCTGTCACCATATTTCTATAAAATTTCTATAGACTAGTACCTATAGAATAATAAGATGCAGTGCGGAGAAACGACATAAGACACAGTTGGAGCCTTCTTGCGGAGGCTGCTTTTTTCGACTGTGTCAAATAATTATCGCCTCTTGCAATGTTTTATTGTTGGAGATTCAATTCACCAAACCGCAATAACCACATGTATAAATTATGTGTGACAAAAAGAGCTACATGCTTGTAATATTTTTATCTTCTTGGATGGTTCTCGTTCCAGTGTAGGGTATATACAGGGGCAGAGCACTCAACACAACTAAATTACTAGTGTTACGAAAGCTCCATGGCGTGAGTATTTGTGATGTCTGAGTAGGTGCACACGACAAGTGACGAGTGCATGTTTTCATGAATGTATCGTGACAAACTTAAAATTTAGAATTTGTTTTCGCGAAAAACTGATTTACTGTAGTTAGAAAGCGGATAGCAAGGTTGTTAAAAATCTATTTTTTACAATTTTTATACCATTTGTATACACTAAATTTTATAGAAAGTCTACAGGGAAAAGCGGCCCAGAATCTATAGACAGTGGATTAGAAAAGTGCATAAATGTTCTTCAGAATATATATAGCCTCTATAGACATCCTGTAGAAAGTGGTTAAATATTTTTGTAGGGGGTTACAAAAGGAGCTTGGCGAATGACGAGGCTGGAAAGACGTTTAGAGCTAAGAAGACATACTGCGGTATGACACTGAGCATAAAGTGGCACAATGCACACAACGCATATTCTTTTTAGAGGTGCAGACATGATATCAGCCTCGATTCTCTTTCGCAGATAATTTACAGGAAAGTGGACGCTCCAGCTTACTTAGCCTGAGTGAGAGCGTTTAAACGAAGAGTAACATAAATGTTTGTCTTCCGTCGCCACAGTTCCAACTTTTTGATAGAGAGACGTCATTTTATAAGATGTCCCACGTGAACCTTGCGCAGTAAAACGAGGCGGAAAAATCGGCGCCTGCACATAAAAAGCTCAAACTTTCAAGGAATATGTACTGAGCAGGTCAGTTTTACCGTGTGAAAGTTCAAGGCTTTGTTTTCTCTTTGTAAAAAACAGTGAGAGCAAAAAAAAAAAAAAGCTTGTGAAAGTTAAGGTTGAGGGAGTTCGCAGACGACCGATTTAACGACGTTATTTACTTCTGGCGCCATCTCCCGATAGGCGCAGGGAGCAAACAACGCACTCCATTATATGCTCGCCTCGCCTATTGGGAGATGTCGCCACAGGTAGATAGACCACTGCAAACTTTTGTTATGCCACCAACCGCTACTGTCCTGCATCCTGTACTGTCGCTCGAAATCCATGTAGCCCAATTTCATTATATTTAAAATGAAAGTCAGTATTTATACCGGCTTCATATCTATACGTGCAGATTCGGTTATTCAAAAGCAAAAATGCATTTTATGTCTTGTAACCTACAAGAAATGCAAGCGCTGATGCGAGATTTTATGCTTCTGAAAGTGCATTGATTTCGGAGGCGCTCTTATATCCCTTACCCTGCTTTACAATGCCGAGCAAATAGCTTCGGTAAGACAGTTGACACATTTAAGTAATCACTGTTAATTCGACATTGGCAACCGCCTTTGTAATGATTTGCACCACAAAACAAACACCGCTGCCAATTTTGATACTGTTATCAAGAATGTGCTTCCTTTCAGCGCCATCGTACGCCGTCCCCACCCCAGTACAACTTGATGCTTTACAAGCATCCCCAACCACGAGACACTTTGAAACGGGCACACCCGAGACAAGAAAATTAAGTCGATAAAGGCTAGCATAGCTTCGTACACGCGCAAATTACAAACCATCGTCCATTTCCCTCGTTACTAAGTGCGCCCCAAAAGCGAAGCGTGTGCCTCAACGTTGGGACGGAATTCCTCGCACGCCACTTGCGTGCTAGGTGGCGTTCCTTTTTCATGCTCTGTTTCACCTTATGATGAACCGCAGCTGACGCCACGATATCCATCGGAGCCAACCCAGCGCTGCGTGAATGTCACGTGACATTCGCAAAGGGCTTCGCAACGCGCGCGGCGCTTAGTGACGTCAGAGGTTCACAGAGCTGGATTGGCTGGGACAGCTCGCAGCGTCCATTGCGGTCCATCGTAAGTCGTTAACGACGCCGGCGCGGCTCGTTAACGCGTTCGAGCAGAAACGCCCGGACTGCCCGCTAACGTGGATGGCCCGACGAAAAGCTTCTTGGGGGCCCGCAGGAACTTGTCGGACTTAGGAAAATCGTGCGGCCCATCGGTCACGCGTAGCACGTGCAATGCAGGGCGGCCCAAGGCTATGCTCGAACAGGCGACGTCGTCTGGGTCATCAGTATTCACACTCTATATAGCACGTTAAGGGTGTAGCCCCATGCGGGTCGTTTTGAGAATTTCGTTGTTTGTTTTCGTTCTTTGTTTAGGAACAAATGCCGAAGGAGCGTCAACAATGGCTTAGCGTATACGTCTGATTTCATTGGTCACGCGCGATTGAACGGATTTTTCAATTACATTAGAACATTCGGGGTTTCTCGCACTTCCCTTCGTAAGCGAGGCTTTTTTTTTGTCATGAACATCGTATTTTGATGTTGCCACACTTACGCGCCAGGCTACTTGAAAACGGCATATAAATCAGTGTTGTGTCCTTTACCGAACATGAGGAACGGAATAGGGTTACTCGTTAGTTAGCCGAAAGTTAGCGAGTTACCGAGATTCGTTACCGTCCCGCAAATGTAAAGAAATACTGTTACCGTTATTTTCGAAACCCAATGAACGTCACTTTTGCGCTACTTTAGGTTTCAGTATCTTTCGCAGCGATAAGCCTCGCTCACAAACTTCTATAGCAAAAAACAAAATTTTAGGGTGTGTGTATGTTTATACAGCCTAGAACTTGGTCTGCCTCAACGAGCGACTTGTCAAACTTCTGTAGCAATAAAGCTTGTACAAAGGAAATTCATAATATTCATTCTCTTTTGTTAAATAAATTGTGTAGAAAACAGCGACGTTCCGATAGCGTGTTAATTGTACCTTTGTAGTAACAAAAAAGTGACTAATTTCAATTAAAACTAACGAGCAACGATATTTGATAGGCTATACCGTGAAAAAGTAACGAAATTACTTCACTCGTTATTAATTTCAAATTCTAACAAGTGTGTTGGTACGTTACTGAAAAAAAAAATCATAACGTGTTTACTAACACGTGACTGACCATGAGCCGCATATTCGTTTCGATTGCTTACAGGGCACCGATGAACTGTCGCACTTTCATTTAGGACACTCGCGAATCCAGCGTGTAGACCTTTCTAGCACAGTTTTAAACTAAGCAATTTACAGCGTGCGTCCCTGCTTTTGAGAGGGTACGTCAATGTTGCCCGAGTGCGCTGGGCTGTGGGTTTTCTAGTTATTGGGCTGGGGCAGCCTGCGTAGGCGCACTTCCGGACGCTGGTGGAGGCTACATCGAAGCGTTTAATTTTTTTTATTTTGTGTTCTAACGCGAATAAAATTTCTCCGGTTTTTAAGAATGCATTGAACTATTTTTTGGGAACGAAAACAAAGAAATGAAAGCTGTTTTGGTAAGTCTGTGCGCGACAGAACAAATACAACTGGAATGCTTGTTTTATATTATGTTGATCTTTTCACGGCACCATACACTCAGCCGTGTCGATCTACAAAGGTGTTAACCGTCGAAACTATTTGACCACAGAGGATATCGGAAACACATGAAATTCAACCAGTCTCATCAATCGAACAACATATATTGTACGTACCCCACGGTGCAGCATTATCCGGTGTGTTTGGGGGCACATCTAGAACAGAGCTGCTTTTTTACACAGCATCAAAGCAAATGAACGAACGTATCTGTAGACCATTTGCAATATTCCCAAGCGTCCCGGCCCGCACTCGAGAAATCATGTCCGTCAGCTCCGTGATCGCTAATTTTGTCCAATTTCATGGTTACGCAGTTTTTGAGCCTAATTCGGAGTCCCCCTGAACAAGCGCCTGGTATACCCAAAGGACCTGTCATATCACTTTTAAAATTTCTTGTCAATGTCAGCATTTTTTAATACCGTGCACCTTTCAACATGGCTGAGCTGCAGAAATCTCTTGCAGTATTATCATTCTCGTGATTGTTGTTTTAGCGGGAATTGCTTAAAAAGCCAAGAATTCACAACACCAAAAACCAGGATTTAGCTCGGAGTCCGCGGGGCTGTTTATGGCATTTTTAGTGTTTCTAACTTAATTCGCGACTCCATTAAAACGAACGGCTCCTAGCGGGAAAACATGGAACTGGCCGGAACAGGTC